ACGAATAATGTATTCCAGAACGTTTTCTTGTCACAATTATCAATGGAATTCGTGACTAAAGAGAATGATGAAACTACAATAGGATTTATACACTTGGAGTGGAACAGTGAGGATACAAGCATAGTAAGAAAAATAGCACAAACCTAGGAACAATTTGCACAGGTAATAAACTATAGGTGAGGTGAGAAATGATAGGAAATTCAGCAAGTGCAGTGTGACAATGGACATGCATGTGCAAGTGTGTGTGAGTACGAATTTACTGGAATAGCGTAAGTGCGGTGACATTTTCTTTTTGTTTACAAAGATTTGGATCACGAATGCGAATGTAGACTGCTTCTAGAACTTTCAACTGCTTGAAACTACTTGCAGAACGAACAACACTGAACCAAGAATCATCATAACTTTCACGACACACGGGGTTAGACAACAAGTTAGTTTATTACCTGTGCAAATTGTTCCTAGGTTTGTGCTAATCTTCTTACTATGCTTGTATCGCTTGTATTCTCGCTGTTTCACTCCAAGTGTATAAATCCTATTGTTGTTTCATCATTCTCTTTAGTCACGAATTCCATTGATAATTGTTACAAGAAAACGTTCTGGAATACATTATTCGTCCCCATGGTTGTGATATGAGTGCGCATTTAGTTATATTCATTGCATTATTAAGACTATTGTCTCCACGTCGCCTTTTTAAATAATAATAATAATAATGATATCCATTACGAAGTAGTGGTTGCGACGTATCCATTAGTAATGGATAATGACTTGCGAGCGCTCGTCGTTCACGAGTTGCTAAAACTCCCTAACAGTCAGTACTGACTGTCTGACTCTACCCGAGAGTCGGAATATTACGACTCCACAGATGTCACTACAATAATGTACTACGTAACGTAGTCTGGTCCAGTACTAGTACTCTAGTACAATCGATTAATCATGTCTTGTACTTGTAGTACTGTGACCAGTCTGTGTGTAGGTACAGTAGCAGGTAATGCTTGATGAGTGCATGCCGGGTGACACCAGACACTGTCACATGCACAGTACTGAAATAAATATTTCGAAAAAAAGATTTTTCACTCATTTTACAGTGCAGTGTGTAATGAGAAGGGTTTCTTCTTGTGGATCTACGCCCCCCCCCCCCCCCCCCCCCATCACCACCATGTACCGGTACATAATACACCATGTACCACAGGACTTCAAAAATACATGATTTGTAGCGGTGGAAAAACAACGCAAAAACTACAAAGTCCGAGGATAGTTCTGAGATACACCAAACATGTACACGTACCGTCACCACCTCCTCGCACACCGACCACCCAGGATTCGTACAATCATCTGTCATGCAGGCAAAGTAAAAATAATTGTAGCGTCTCCTTGCACGACGTTGTTGCCTGGTGCTCCTTGCAGCTACTTGGACGCAAATCTGCCCGCGACCCATGGCGTCCGACGAGCAGAAGCTGCCAGCTTCTGTCCGAACTGCCCGTGATTTGCTGGCTAAGGCAGTTGAGAAGGCTGGTATTCAGATTAGCGGTGGCCTTGCCAGCGATGCCAAAATCCCATTGAAAGATATTTTTGTCAACTTGACGTTGCTGACAAAGGACGAACTTTCCAAACTTTTCAGTAACGAGTCATCGTCCTTTTCGTCTGCTTCTGAACGAGCACGCCAGTTGAAATTGTTCTCCGAGGCTCAGCCGCAAAGGGTCGCTACGGCCGAGCGTGGCATTGAACTGGAAGATATTTTCTCCGCTACCAGCGAGCGGTCTTGCAATCAGGGGGCCGCGCCACGCCCGGGCTGTGACCATGAGGTAGCTGACTCCGGTTTACTGGCGCGTGCCAAAGAACCCGTGGAAGAGAATAAGAATGTGCTAGCGTTTGGAAGCGCTGGCTGTGGCAAATCCACGATCTTTCTGATCATGCTGGAATACCTCTGGTCTAAAGGTGAGCTGTGGCGTGGAAAGTTTGATCTGGTATTGGCAGTGGAATTACGACGTGCCGAGGTGCAAGCTGCTACGAGCTTGTGCGACTTGCTGGCACGTCGATTCTCCAGTCTGGATGTGGAGACAGATGAGCTGCTGGAGATGTCCCGGTTCTTTCGCAGCAACCAGTCCCGTCTTTGCATTGTGCTAGACGGGCTGGATGAGTGCAAGTTGGACAACTGCAGTGAATACATGCGTGATCTACTGTTGAGAAGGCGTAGTGGTGATATGCATGTGGTGGTGACGTCTCGACCATGTACTGATGCTCATACCCTGTCGCAATGTGGAGAGTATCAACAGCAAGTGGAGGTGGTTGGATTCTCACCAGACAACGTTGAAACGTACGTGAAGAAAGTGGTGGGCGGTGTGAAAGGCGAGGCTATGCTGGAGCAGCTCCGCTCACAAGAGGGCACAATGTCGCTAATGAGTACACCTCTGTTTGCTGCGCTGGCTTGTGAATTGTTCATGGACGACAGAGACGGTAGTAAATTGCCGGAATCCAGTACAGGACTGTACGAGTCTCTTGTCCGCCGTGTCATGGAACGGCGTACGGGCAAGCGCTACAAGAAGCTTTCCGCCATCAAGACGGACGAGATTGAAGTGCTGAAGGAGCTATCTGGTTTTGCACTATCTATGCTAGCTCAGCAAAAGATGGTATTCAACGAGGAGGATGTCATTTCGGCAGAACTAAGCGCGGTTGCCATTGAATTAGGATTGCTGATGGCGTACAAGAGCACCAGCTCAACAGAAGACCGGCAATATCGATTTGCTCACTTGTCCATTCAGGAGTTCTTGGCGGCCTGGTACGTGTCTAGCGAGATGCTGAACGACGAGAACGACGCTGCGTGGCTGGTGAGGAGAGTCGGCCATTACAGCGGTCACATGACCATGTTCTGGCGTTTCCTGATCGCGCTCACACCGCCAAAGCCCGCAGTCGCCATCATGGAGCATCTGTGGCGGATAATCTGCGACGGCGACCGTACACAACGTGCATGCAGCCAGACTGATACACGCCTGCTCGACGACATTGTGAGCCGTTCTCAGCCAACCAAGCAAAGCAGCGACGTGGACCGTATCCATGCGGTGCTGAAATCGGCGCTGTCAGTTGAAAAGATGAAAGAGCTCGCCGATCAGCTGCTGGTTGGCACCGCCGGGCAAGGACGTGGTCGTCAGCGTGTCGACAATGCTCTGCCACGAGGCAGGGAGTTGACGGACGACTTGTACCTGGATACTCTTGTAAGCGTATGGAAGAACGAGGCAGCGGAGGCGAGTGCAGAGGTGTTCCTGTCGGCTGTACGTAAAGTGGATCCCGGGACCGCATCGCATTGCGAGCAGCATGCGATGACAAGCGCAACATCGGAGATATCGACACCATCATCACCTGGAGCTGCCCCGGCTGCTACTGCTGCACCTATACGGCCTCCTGCGGATGACAAGGCAGAACTCCGTTGCCAAGCTGATTTGTTAGTAGCTTATCTAGAGCACTGCCAGTATCAAGGTACGTCATCTTGTAATGGCCATTGTTCATTCTTCTCTCAGGTCTTTTCTCTGAATTTTCGTCTAGTGAAACTCAGCCTGTTAGATTGCACTGCCATTGCTCATTTCCTCACAACCCATTTTTGCGTGGACGTGCAGGAAGTGCGCCTTGATTATTGTTCCCTATCCAGCTCTGCTATGCGCTACATTCTTAATGGCTTGGCACGCTACAAACATGTACGTGTGCTCTCTTTGTCTGCGAATCGCTTTACCGATGGTAATGTCTTTTCATCATCCATTTTGTCCGCATCGTCCAGCCTGGAGGAAGTGGATTTAGATCACAATAAAGTCGGCATTAACGGCTTTGCTTTGATCTGCCGAGCGCTGAGTTCATGTAGGAAGTTGCGGGATGTTTCACTTTGCGAGTTATGCAGTGAGAAGGGTGCTGATGTGCCGCTGACGACCATTCTGGAAATTCTCGAGTCTAACAGGAACCTGGAAGTACTGTTTGTCCTAGGATATGCCTTCGCGTTTGGTCCTAAATCGGAGGAACGACGTGTACTAGCCCGGTTCGTACAGGCTGTTCGCCAGTGTAGCAAGCTTAGTAGGCTCTGGTTTTCTCCCGAGTGTGGGGATAACAGCAGGTTGCTGTCCAAGCTCCAGCCGCTGGCAGATGATCCTGAATGTGCTCTCCGGAAGATTGGAGGGTTCTGATAAGAGGGCGTTGGTTGTTACA